GGGTCCTCCCTCTTCCCCTTCTTGAAGATGGGGACCACATTTGCTACCTTCCAATCATCTGGCACCTGGCCCAAGCACCACGATCGCTCATAGAGCCGTGCCAGGGGCCCTGCAATAACCCCAGCTAGCTCCTTCAACACCCTGGGGTGGAGAGCATCCGGACCCGCTGACTTGAACGCGTCCAGCCCCAGATGTGTGTAGCTGCACCCCAAATATTGTGTGACACCCTTAAAAAGATCTCACAGCCCCCCAGGGGACAGAGAATTACCGGACTAAGGGAAGGGACATCTCCAGCCTGTTGGGAGAGGGTGCAGGGTGCTGGGCAGTCTGTGGTCTCTCCTGAGGGGTTCGTGGCAGCCCTGAGGGGGGCACCTACCTGCTCCCTAAATGTCAAGGCAGCCTTCTGCATCTGCTCCAGCCTCTTCTCTCTCTTCCTCCTGGCTTCCTCCACCTGCTTCCAGAGCGCTGTCCTCCTCCTCCAGCGCAGCAGCTGGATGGTGACCACCAAGCAGCACAGCACCGCAGTGCCCAGGTGGGGGCTGAGCCACATCTTTCCGGGGAAAGGCATCTTGCTCCCACAGAGAGCACCAGACCTGGGTGCTGGACCTGTCCCTGCTGCTTCCCAGCCCTGGATCACGAGGCAGGGAGCCCGCGGGAGGGACCTTGGAGCCTCTGCAAGGCACAGGTGAAATGCTGCCATCCACAGGGGGATGGAGGCATCTGGAAAAGCCTCCAGATCCCTTTAATTCCTCCTCAGTGCCATCCTTTGGAAGCCCCCGGCCTCTCCCCCTGCCCCAGATTGCCTGCACGCTGCGAGGTCTTGCAGACAGGGGTAGGGATGGTTTGCAATGCAGCTCCTCAAAGGCATTGCTCTTCCCAGGCAGAAGCTGGCAAGACCCTGGTGCTTCTTTGCTGCTTGGCACGACCCCCAGCACCTTGGCAGCTGCTCCTAAGGACTACGGAGGACTTGCCCTGGCCAGCCAGTCTTGCCATAAACCGAAGTAATAGGAGAAAAAAGAAAAAAAAAAAAAGCAAACTCCCTTCCTCCCATCCGCTGGGGAAATGAGCCTTCCTCGTTTTGCTGGCAATGGAAGATGCAGGCGCTGCAGCCCACAGCAAGGTTCTCGATGCTCTCTGCCACCTGGCCCATTGCTTAAGAAGAAACCCCTTGCAGGCAGTTATGCCTTGTTTTAGGATGTGGCTACAACCTAGCTGGGGTCGTCTGACCCCAGCGCTCTTCCCTGCCCAGGGCAGGGGGTCAGACTCAATGATTTACTGAGGTCCCTTCCGACCCCAACATCTGTGAATCTATGGATACCTGATGCAACGGTTCCAGGTATCACATAAGCTACCTCAGGGGAGTTATTCAAAGGGAAAAGGCCTCTCTGTATGCAGGGGGGCTGGACCCGATGATCTGTAAGGTCCCTTCCAGCCCCTAACAACTATGAAGTACAAAAAGCAGACTGGAGACAATTCAAGAGCTCCCCACTGCAAGGAGCCGTGAGGATCGTGATATGCATGGCTAGGGCTTGCTGAGACAAAGCTGATCGCTCCTGGAGGGATTGAGTTTGCTCTCCTTACTCCACGCAGGGATTAAGGCAGGATAGGGAACGCTCTGTGAAGACACACCTTGCTGAGCCCTAGATCCACCAGCCCTGGAGCAATCACCGTGGGTGCAGCGACGCAGAACAGATGCAGCAGGTCAGGCCTGAGGGGACTTTTGAATCAGAGAGCCCTGGGAAAAGGGTAAAGGGCCCATCAGGTTTTAGCAGCAAACCCCCCGCCCCGCCAAAAAAACCTTCCACACCTCATTGGCATGGTCGCTCTATCCAAGCCACACAGCAGAACATGAGATGAGCAGAAATCCTCGCCAAGCAGCACCCTGCAAAGCCCCGTCAAAAGTCTTTGACTCTGCATTTCCTTTGAAATCCTGGGGTTTCTACTGGATGGCCTCGAGTGTCCAAGTTCCTGCTCTTTAAGTGCTGTCTTCACCCTCAAGAAGTCTGCACGGGAGAAGATGGCATTGAAATAATTTTCCAGGAAGAAGGTTGGTTGAAAATTTTCAGGGAAAATCCTTTTTTTTTTCCACTGGAAAATATGCTTGTGTTTAAAACGATGGAAGCTGTCAGCTCAGATCCGTTCCCCCTCTGCCCCAGGGTAGGGGGTCTCAGAAAAGGGGCTTTTTAAAGGGCAACAGCTTTACCCCATTGTGTCAATGTTTGTCAGTGTTGGGTTATTCTATAATACTGGGAAACCAGTGAAATGCAGGCACTGGTGTTGTGTGCGTCTCTTCCCAGCCATTTAAAAAACAGTGAAATACCAGCAAAGAATTAAGCAGATGTTGAAGAGAATGAGGGGGAAAAGGACCACTCAAGTGTGGTCTGCCATAGCAAAAGCTTTGTGGCATTGGGGTTGTTTGCATCTGTGAGGAGGTGACTTCCAAGGGAACAGGCACAGGGATGGATCCAGGGGGTTGCATTTGCACCTCCCTTTGATTCCTGCTCCACCCAAAATTTAAAACCAACTGCCTGGCAGTGGCAGCAGCGTTTCTATTCAGGCAGTCAAGATGGAGCCACTTGACTTCACGGCTCATTATAATCTAACCGATCCCTTTTAAACTCTTCCTACCCCAGGTGCTAACAACCGTCTCTTCTTTCTAATGGTCTCGACGTTCCACCAATCGCACTATCCTTTGTTCTGCCCTGCTGCTGTCTGTTGGCTGCTCCTGGCCATGAAGCTCCTATTTCACAGCCCTGCAGATTATTTTAAACTCACTCCAATGATGTTACGCTTGGTTTTGCTTCAATCTGAAACTGAGTCATATAGCCCCAGGCCCCTGGCATATTAGTAGATCTTCTCCTTTATTTTTAACAGGAGAAACACTGGTGTTGTTGCTATATGTGATGATGCACCTCACTATCTGCACCCTGCTTTGCAATGATCTAGATTTGCTCATGAACAGGCAGTCTGCCCTGTCACCATGACAGCTCTACAAAGGGTGGTGCTTGTATGGTTGCAGTTCCCTTCCAACGCGTGGCTTTCAGCCCATTTCTTCCCATGGTCATACAAAAGAGGAAGGAAACTTTCCAAGAAGGACTCATGGGTTTTGAAGGGCAGAAGGGACCATCGTGATTATCTAGAGTCTAGACTAGTGTTTGCGAACCCATGAGTGGTCCAGGATGGATGCAAGAGAGCTAGCTAACCCCCTCTGCATTGTCCTGTGATGGCTGGCAGGGTCCGAGTGAGAAGCCAAGTGGCGTCGCTCCAGCTATTTCCAGATCAGGAAACAACAAAGCCACCTTCAGTAAATGCCGGGGTAATTAGCCCAAGCTCAGGGCCATGCACACATGGCTATGACACTTCCATTCAGAGCTGACTTGTGTATCTGGCAGGGGGGCGTTGAGCAAAGACTGTAATGGGCTACAGGATCATAAAGTCTGAGGACCACTGATCTAGATCAACCAGAGAACCCCACTTGCCATTTGGGCATTAAGGCCATAACCTATCATTGAGACACAGCAGATCTCTTACAAGGGCATCCAGTCTGGGGTTATAGGGCTCAAGGTGTGGGGAATCCACAAACTCCCTAGGCAACCTGGTTTTTCAGGCGGGCACTGGCTCCTTTTTTGCAAAGAACCTTGTTTCAGTTTGCAATTGTGCATGTCTCTCATTTGTGCACAGTGAAACTGCCAGTATCCCCAACCCTCAGCAATCCTGTGCTTGGTGCCTACAAGAATCACTACAATGTCAGAAAAAGGCCAGGGTATGATTAGGGTTGACAAGCCAGTTGATGGTCTGGACAGATAAGGTCAACTGATGGTTTCTTATTTGACCCAGGTCAAATGTTACATGAAGCCAAGTGCCCTTGTGTAGCTGGTGGCCTACCTCCTCATTGCTTGATGGTGCTGTCTACCAGCAAGGCAGGAATGGGGGCTCCTTGCCCCCAACCCAGCCCTTCAGGAGTCAGGATCCACACTCATGTGCTATTTAGGAGCCCTGCTCCTCTCTCCTGCACTCTTCCAGCCTCCCTTCCCCTCCCTGCCACCACAAAGCAATACAGCCCTGCAGGAGCTGTAGAAGCTGCTGTGTGCTGAGGAAAGATATAAGATATTAGGTTAGATATAAAAAAAACCCTATCACAAGGAGGGTAGTACAGCACTGGAACAGCCCCCACAGAGAGGTGGTGGAGTCTCCATCTTTGGAGGTGACCCGGCTGGACAAAGCCTTGTCTGGGATGATGTAGTTGGGGCTGGTCCTGCTTGGAGCAGGGGGTTGGACTGGATGTGACCCCCTGAGGTCCCTTCCCACCCTCATTGTCTTTGATTCTGTGATTTTATGGAAGAACTCAATCAGTAGGAAAAGTTTCTCCTGCTTGCTATATGCTGAAGCTTCAAAGCATCTCCAAAGAGGAAGGGCAAAGGCAAGGAGGAAAATGCTTGACTGCTCACTTAGCACAACTGCATTTCAACACCAACTTTGGTTTCTATAGTCACTGTGTGTGTATTGCTTCTACTTATTTCCTTTCCTTTCCTTAAATTGTGTAAAGTTTGGGGTTCTAGCATAAAAGCCAAGGAGGAGGAGAACAGTTGTCTTGGATATCATAGTACAAGAGTGATGGTCCAGACATGATGCGAGGGACCAGGATTTCTTAAGGCGATCTCTTTCGACTGCAGTTCTGATCTGAGGAAGGAGGCCCTGCATTCAAAAGCTTGTCTAACTTTACCCAAGTTGGTCCAATAAATTACAAAAAAGATCATCCTAAGAAATCCTTGCCCCTCACATCATTTCTGGACCATCACAGCCTCTGACAAAACACTCGGGCTTCAAATTCCCCAAGCAGTCCAGAATAGGGGCTCTGTATTTTTCCTCATCTCCATCATAACCCACACACTTTGCACTGCAATGTTTTTATCCAGATGATTGAACTTTGAGCGGCAGCACCATCTGCTGTCTGTTGTGGCCTACGTGCTGTCCACACACAGGAGCCCTGAAGCTGGACTTGCCTCTAGCAGTGCACCGCGTAGCAGACCAGGCTGTAAACTGGTGGTGCTCAACATTTCCAAACTTGAGGAACCCATTAATAGACTCGAGGTCCCCTTTGGAAAAATCTCAGCTCTTGGTTTTTGGCTCCTTTTTTGACTATAGTGCAATTTTTCCATGGCAAAGTCAGCGCGGCTTTAACGCTACAGATTCCTATTTGAGATCTCTGGGTTGATCTTGTAAGTCATGGAGAAGTCTTGCTGTCCAGGCCCTCAGGTGGTCACATCTAGTCCAGGGAAAATCATCCACAACCAAACCATTTCAGCCAAATTTCTGTCTAACCTGATCTTGAAAACTTCTGAGGAAAAGTGGAAACCATAGTCTGTAGAAATGCATCCAACTTCAGTGCTGCCAAGGATCTCACCAGACAGGTCCTGTCTTCTTGGGGAGTCTGATCAAGGACCCCCACTTTCCAAAAAAAGGTCAGTGTCCCAACAATCGTCTTTCCAGCCTCTGTGAACACAGTCTCCTATGAGGACAGAGGGGAGGGGTACAGTAAAGTCACAGAAAAGTAGGGCCATGAGGGACCTCCACAAGCCATGGGGTCCAGCCCCCTGCCTGAGGCCATTTCCCTAATTTAGGATTTGACTCCTTCATCATGCATTTGAATGACTTACTTAATCGCAGCTAATAAAACCTGCCTGGATTTTGCTTGCTTATCGCTACAAAGCTGTAGGTACAATGCCTTCTTTTGAACTCCTTCGTCTCCTTTTTGTGTTCTTTGAAGATCACCTCTGCTACAAACCCAGACTCAGTTCTGGAAACTCTCTGGACTTAAAAGCAGGGCTTTTTGCAGCTGATGGTTTTCCCTGCTCCATTCAACATGCAGAGGAAAGTCTCATAAAAAGTTGCATTGCTTTAACTGGCTTTGGGCAGGATTGTTGCCTGAGTGACAGAAAGAGATGGAGGTGGGTTAGGCACATAAGCACACAGTCACAAAGGTATCGAGGTGCTTAAATGCCATTAGGCCCTATATAACTTGGAAGATCTTAGCCCTACACCCCCTAGGCACCTCTTGTATTTGCACCGGTGTGTTTGACTTCGGTTTGTACAGTCCTGGGCTGGTAACTTGTGCCTCCAGTGGACAAATGAACATACCTCCAGAGGTAGCAGGAGGTGCTGGTACTGCATCTCACCTGTAAGAGCCTGCAAATATTAAGCAAAGGATGGACACATGAACCTGCCTTGGTGGGATTTATTTACCCTGCTGTGTATGTACTTCTGTGTACCCCAGAGGTGAGTGATTTGCCTGGGAAGGGGCTTGATCCTCCTTTGAGCACTGGGCTGGACTGGATGTGATCTCCTTCCAGCCCTGTGTTTTGATGATGCTAGGAGTCTGTGACTTAGGGCTTCATTACATTTTCAGTTTAGGCAGCTCAGGGAGCTCTCCTGGATTATCCACACATTCAGACATGTCAACTAGTTCTAAGTACCCTGTAGGTGTCTTGAAGTTACACCACTCTGGGGCAAGTTTTCTCTCTGATCCGTGTTACCCAGCTCCTGTTCCATGAATGTGTGGCTGCTCCCCAGAGATAAGTCACCCACGTTTCAGTCCTCTAGCATCCCAGGATGCAGTGTCCCTTCTCTTCACCCTCCTGCCCTGGGTGGACAACTCACAGATGTGGCTCCTAGTCAGGTCCCTGCAGGCAGTGGCAAGTCACAGCTGTGCAGGTTGGGGACAGGGAAGGTTTTTAGCCAGAAGGTGTAACTACTCCAAGCTAGAACCGACGCTAACACCGATTGACCTTAAAGTACGATGTATAACAAGGCCCTCATTTCAGTGCAGGACTGCATGTCATGTGTCTCCTCCCCATTTACACTGGATAAGGACAGACGATCCCAGTACCCCTGTGTTGCATGTCCACAACCTCAGGCCTTTTTTTTTTTTTGAAGATCCCATTTCAAAATAAGCCAATTGTGGCTCTTAGCCACACTGTGTAGCATTGACTGTTGATCGTTGCATCTATAAAATGATGGACCTTCCATGTTTCCCCTTTACTGCATGCATTGCTGCTGACCCATCAGCTTGAATAACTCCGTGATCCTCAACAATGGGTCTCTAACTAGCAGAACACTCATTTGGGAGATTGGAGACCAGGCTCCTATTTCCATCTCCCACCAGCCTGGTAGATGGCTTTGGTTAAGTCACTTCACTTTTTTGTGCCTCGGTTTCCTCATCTGCAAAACGGGCACAATGCTGCTGCCCCTCATTACCAGGCACATGGAGGCCTACTGCTGAAAAGTGCTATCGGTCTTTATATAGCAGAGTCTGAACTGGTTCACCGAATGAACAGAAGAGTTGATGGATTTTTATTTCGCTGGTCTGCAGCAGTCTAGGTCCTGCGAAAGAGGTGACGCTTCTGACGAGGCACCTCGCTAAGGCCTGATCCCTTTGAACTGAGCCAAAATTGGGCCTCAGCTCCAGTGGAGCTGTTTAAAAATGACACGCGATGTTTTTCCATGTCGCTTGGACCCCTCTCCCTTCCCCAGACATTTGCAACCTGCATGGTTTTGCATTGACCCTTGCTAACAGCCCCATGTGCTTATGCCTTGTAGCCCAGTGCTGGAAAAGCTGGGTTGGCAGAGGGTGTATAGAAGGGACTGTTGTGTGGTCAGATGGCAGACACGGCCACTCTCCAAGAAGCTTTCCAAGGAATTGCTGGGAAGAAGAGGCTTGAATGTGAGTATCCACCTCTTCGGCTGAAGTTGCGAGTTCTCGGAGCTCCCGAGGTCTAGGTCTGAGCCCCCGCGTGATATAACCCAGGTGGATACAGGCTCCTTGCTGAGCCCAGCACCACTGACCGCCTCCACCCACACCCAAGAAGGAGAGCAGTGGGGGGGCATGTGCCCAGGCCCCCTCCGAGCTGTCCAGCTGTCAGGCTCAGGCACAGCTGGAGTGTGGCCTGCTTCTTGGTCCCTCCAGCCCTCCGTCCCTCGACGCGTTCCTTTCCCTCGATAGGGAGATGGGGTGGACGTGGCTTTGGCTCTCCCTAGCCTTCCCCACCTCAGTGTGGTCTACAGCATGAAGCACCAGCCTGGGGTTTTGGTGAGGTGGGTTCCTGCCCCACCTTTGTCACCCACACCTGCAGGCTGACCTTGGGTGAGTGTGTTTCCCTGCTTTGTGCCTCAGTTTCCCCAGCTGTAAATGGGGAGGAGGGTCTTGTCCTATATGCCCAGCTTCTGACAGCCCCTCGTGAAGGTCTTGTAGTAGCTTCTGTGTCTCTGTGTGGTCACTAGTGATCTAGAAATGGACTGACCCCTGGGTTTTTCCATCCCTCTCTCATTCTCCTCCTTTCTGCACTCTGCTGCTCAGACCCTTGTCTGCCCTCCCATCTTCCTCCTGTCTGCTTCCAGTGCAGGCAGCTCTTTCCCTATAAGCGGCTCTGCTGAGAAGGCGTTGAAGTCCTTGTAGATCCACCTGCTCCTTTCCTGGCCCTGGGCATCCAGTTGAGGGTCCTTCCAATAAAATGCAGCTCACCAGGGGCACAGCCACTTCCGTGGCTCCTCCATGCCCGTCCTCGCTGCCGTGGCTCTAGCTCCACCGGTTTAAAAGCATGGAACAGGGTACCCAGAGAGGTGGCTCAATCTCCATCCTTGGAGGTTTTTAAGCCTCAGGTAGACACAAGTTGTATCTGGGATGATGTATTTGGGGCTAGTCCTGCTTGGTGCCGGGGGTTGGACTAGATGTGACCTCCTGAGCTCCCTTCCACCCTCGTTATCTGTGATTCTATGAGTCTGTTGATTGTCCCTCGTGACCGATAGTCCCAAACACTGCAGAACTGGCTCTCATAGACACCTTTCTGGTTTCCTTCCCTACAGATTAACAAGGGGGTTGCACGTCTCATGGAGAACACCAGCATTGCAGCCACCTGAATCAAAACCACTTTGCATTTAATGAGAACATTAAGAAAAAGGAGAGAGAGAGAGAAAAGAAAATGTAAGTGGCTAAAAATATTGTCGTTGTTGTTTTACACAGCTGAATGAAGATAATTGTATTGGCAATTGTGAGTGATTACTGTATTATCTGCAGTCAGAGAAAGTTATTTTTTGAACGCTGGAGGAATTAATGATACATAAAACTGTGTTCGTATTGACTGCATTCATCAGCAGAAACGCGTCGTGCGGCACTGCAGCACTGTGATTACTCCAACCAGCTTGGAGGGAGAGTGGGAGAGAGATGGGCGGATTCTGGATATCGCCAAAGATGTGCATACATTTACATGCCAAAAGGCTGATTGACACCAAAGCTGATTAGGCAGGAGTTTGCCAGCTGGTAACGGGGGGCAGTCCAGTTATTTCCCTCTGGTTGGAGCCCGGGGTGTGTGCATTATAGCCGTGATTCTCGACCTGGGTATCGGGGAATCTGGGGATCCCTGGAGATCCTTTCAAGGGTGCCACACTATGCTAGTGCTGGTAGGTGCACAGACATGAGTCCTAAGACAAACCAAGAGATTTCAAATAGGAATCCAAATTTTTCAAGCCACCCTGCCTCGTTGCAGTCTTCCTGAGTGCTTTGCACCAGAAGAATGGCCCTAGCATTTTTCTGGAGTCAAAAACTGAGTGAAAACGAAGAGCTGGCATTTTTCGAGCGGTGGCCTCGAGTCTATCACGGGGTGTCCTGAGACTAAATGGCTGGATGAACACCTTGCCAGGGTCGTTTGACCCCAGTACTCTTTCCTGCCATGGCAGGGGGTCGGACTAGATGATCTACTCAGGTCCTTTCCGACCCTAGAAACTATGAAACTATAAAGTGATGGAGAACCACTTTATTAGAGCAAAGTGGCAATCAGGGCAAGTTGTCCCTGGTTATAAAACCTTTGGAGATGTTGCCAGGATGAAACTCTCAGCATCCTCGGGCAACAGTGAGATCTTGGGGGGGCTTTTGGCTCTGGTTCCTTGCACACGGAAATGGCTGAAGTTGGTAGATGTGCGGCATCCGTTCACCGGCGAGTGGATGGACGTTGCAGCTATTCTGCTGATGGGCGGTGGTGCGTTTTCTCTTGTGGCTGGACAGACCCATGTTAGACTTGCAGGTCCTGCCACAGCGGTCACAGGTGTACATGGCATTAGGGGCTACTGAGCTGACAGGCTATTTCCTTCGGTCACATTTCTGTTGTCATTCAAGTGACCATTTCTCGTGACGTTGGACTCCATGGTTGAGGAGGGAGTTTGCCCATGCAAGTAGCAAAGATGGTGTGTCCTCTCCAGTCAGTTTTGGCTGCCGTGGCCTGGGCAGTTGATACGGAGACACTTGAGTCACCCATATATCTATGTCCCCTTCTTGGCTTAGCTGGTTGATCCCAAAGGAAAGGCAGAAGCCTGTACATTTGGAGCCAGCTTTGCTGCTGGAGCTGCCAGTGTGAAGGAGATCTTCAATCTGCCTTTTGGGGCTCTGCTCCTAGACTGGTTGCCAACCAAGGATGGAAAGCCCAGTCCACCCTGCCATGGCATCTGCCTTTTGGTGGCATTTTCTCTACCGGGGTAAGGACCGGTACTCTCTCTGAGTTGCTCCTCTGCCCGAAGACATTGGCCCCATAGATGTTGCTGGGCTATTTCCCAGCGCCCAGCTCTCAATGTTGATGCCATCTTCTGTCATAACAGTAGCAGACCTGGCCTGGTGCAGGCTGAAGTTGAAGGCATTTAATAATAAGCACCTTGGTTTTGAAACCCCACGGCTGGACCCAGATGTTGCACTCCTCCCTTTCTGATGGAGCTGGGCGCTTCTTCTGTCTCTGCCCCGGGAAAGAAATGGTAAGAAGGATGCCTGAGGAGGTGAGTGACCTCTGGGAAATGCAGGGGCTTGGCCCAAATAAGTAACCGTCCCAGACTGGAGATGCTAGAGAGGGACACGTGCCCTGTCCACGTGCGGAGAGGGAAGACATGGCCATGGCTTACTGTCACGGTGCCACTGCACAGGACCGTGGGAGCTGTATGAATGTGACGTGCTGGACCACGATCTCCAGGCCTGGCCAGTCTGTTACCCACCTCCAGTGAAATCCAGCCTCAACAACCATGCCGGGGACGGAGGCCAGCTCAGCCCTAAAAGGAGCAGTCAGTCTGGCATCATAGTGTCCAGGATGGTGGCTTCACCCCACATTGATCTGCTCCGCTTGCCCCTTCTCCCCCCACCCCAGGGAAATTTGGACCACCATGGTGGCTCTCAACTCATTGCAGAGCACATAGGGGCTGCATTGCAATGCTAGGATTGCTGTAACATCCTGTGCTGCTGATCCACCCCAAGCCTGAGCCACTTGTGTCTCTCTGCACTTCAGGTCACTGGGGTGACGGTAGACATACCCCAGCAGGGTTTAAACCCAGGTGCCAGCCACAAGGTGCTCAGGACAGGGAACAGCCTGAAGGTTTGTGCCTGACTGGTTTTGACCCTTTGCCTACCACAACCTGCCCTACTAGACCTCAGGCTGGTTTGGCGGGGGTCAATACCGGCTGGGTTGGCAGAGGCCAGTGTGTGCTACTCCAAAGCAGTAGAGACCTGCCCTATAGGCCATTTCCCCATCTCTACAATAGGGATGTTAAGGGCTTGGGTCTACCTCACCGGGGTCTCATGAGATGCTCAGGTGCTGAGGAACAGAGGCCACATGCAGACCTGAGGCTGAATTATAGCCCATCGATAGGACCGGGGGCAGGACCTGGCCTCCTGTTGGATGCCCGATGGCCAGCATTTTGTTAGGCATAGTAGGAGCACTCTCATATTAATAATAATTAATACTGGGAAGCCCCGTTTGCCTTGGCTCCTCTGCCTCAAAGTGAGGGCCTAAGGAGCAGAGCCAGCCTCAACAGCTGGATGTTCATGTCCATTTGAAACACCTGAGATGAAGGAGCGAGAATGACGTGACCCCAGCACCGGGGGTGAATCATGAACTAGACCCCCCCAAATTCAAACCGTCTCGGTCCTCTAAAGAATTATAGAAAATTCAAGCGGGCCGGGAGCGCAGGAGGTTACCAGTCCAACCCCTGCTCCAAGCAGGACCGGCCCCAACATTATCATCCCAGCCAAGGCTTGGTCTAACCGGGTTTTGAAAACCTCCAAGGACGGAGATCCCACCACCTCCCTGAGTGACCTGTTGCAGTGTTTTACTACCCTCCTGGTGAGAAAAGTCTTCCTAATGTCCAACCTCAACTTCCCTTGCTGCAGCTTGAGCCCATTGCTCCTTGTCCTGTCATCCGCCCCCACAGAGACCAGTCCAGCTCCATCCTTTTTGAACCCCCTGCAGGGAGGTGAAGGCTGCTATTCAATCCCCCTCGGTCTTCTCTTCTGCAGACTAAATCAACCCAGTGCCCCCAGCCTTTCCTCATCAGTCCTGTCCCCCCCACAGGAGTACCAAATGAGAACGTTTGCTTTGAGCATCTGCCGTCCGTGAGCTCTAGACCCGGCTCTCAAATGAACAGATCTGTCCCCCCGCCCCAGCAAAATGAAAAAGTTATATGACTTCACATCCAGGTAGAGGGAAAAGTGGGATAGAGCCGTGCAATGCGGCCTTCCACGCTGAGGCCACTAGAGGGAGAGATTGAGCTTCCAGACGGACACCGGAGTGCAACCTGCTTGCCCTGTTTTTGGGCAAGGATGAGGGAGGACTTGGAAGCCAAGATCCCCCCCTGAGCTGGGGCGTGAATGAGGGGAGCTCTTTCCTTGCGCTCAGCAGATTTGAGGCAGCCGAAACAGCCTTGCCTTACGTTCAAGCTGCAGGGACATCGTTCGCTTAGAAGCAAAAGTTGGGGTGAAAAGAGATTCAGGGAAGCCAGGATGTCACCACGAAGGTTTCAAAAGAAAGGGAGGTTATGGCGGGAAGGCACGAATCCAGAGAGAAAATCTAATAAGAATAGCATGAAATTGTTTTCTGCACACAATTTAAGGAGCAAATTTGGCCCTTGGGACAAACCCAGTGCCCCGGTGTCAGCACACGGGAGCCAACCAGGGAGAGGAACTGGTTGTGCAAGGAGAGCTCGATCCTGGATGCTTGCAGCACTTTTGCGTTCGCTTAGGCTCGAAGCTGAGCTCGGGGCTAAGCAGACCTGATCCGATGCCACTGAAGTCAATAGGAGATTTGCCTTTGGCTTCAGTTGCTGTGGGATTCGGTCCAGTGTAACATAGGTCTTCTGCTCCGTGCTCCTGCTTTCCAATGTTTACCCCCATAGCTTATTGTCCTCACCCCTCTATTTATGGCTGTGGGCCGAAAAACATGAACTTTCATGGCCAGAGAGCAAAGAAACCCCCAAGCTTCTGCCATGGAAAAGGCTACGGTGGCTTGCAAAGAAAGATGTTCAGCTCATGAGTCAAATTCGTGGCTCTTACGGCAAAATGACCCTCCCCTCACTTCTCCCAGCACAAAAATGATTCTCAGGTTGGATGAGAATGGCTCGTTTCACTTAAAATGAACAATCAGGTTTCGGTATTTATTTTTAATCCCTAGATTTAGGTAAGCTTCAAAGCATAGAGCGACTTTAAAAAAATACTTTTTTTATTCCCCAAAATGGTCA